ACCCCGCTTCTCCTCGCCTACCTGCTACCCTCCTAGCCCGTCGACCTCGTTGAGCCGCCGACCCTGTCGCCGCCGACCCCATCGACCCCCACCGACCCCACATCCTTAGGTGTGATTTTGTTTTAAATTTTGCAGTTAATTTTTGAGAGGGATATTCATCAATTTTTGCTAGAATTGGGTGAATAATATGATTTGGGAGTTAGGGTTTAGCAATTATTTACATATGAGAGGGTTTAGCAATTATTTTTGAGAGGGATATTCATCAAATTTTACTAGAAATGGGTGAATAATGTTTTGGCTGTTAATTTTGCTAGAATTGGGTAGGATTAGTTTTTATTTTGTGCAATAGGATGAATAATGTGATTTTGGGAGTTAGGGTTTAGTAATTATTTACATATAATGAATAATAATTAGGGTTTAACCATTATTTGGGGTTGATTAAGGTAATAAATTTGATGAATAATATTTTTAGTTATTAATAGATTATTTGTATATGATGGACTGTTGATTTTCAGTTTCGATGACTAACTTCATACCCATTATTTGTTTCTTCAATGGGAGCCTTGGTGTCGGAGTGAATAATTTACCTATGTATGATGGAGATTCTAGGAAAATGTTCATGCTATCTAAGTCGTGTAATTTTGATGGAATGACTAAGGAAATACACAGAGTTATTAAAATTAAGAAAGAAGAATCTGCAATTAGGGTGTTCTTCAACTGTCCAATAAATGAGAGTAGAACTATTACCGTGGAGATTACTGACGATGAGGAATTGAATGACATGAAACAATTAGTTGAGAAGCAAGTGTCAATTGAGTTGTTTATTGAGAAGTATCCGATTCAGGAATTTACCCAAGTTTCACGACCTCAATGAGAGTTTTCTTGGATGCTTGACTTAGACAACGAGTCGAGTGGTTTTATGACATCTCCAAGTCAAGAGCCGTGGCTTCAACCACAACATTTAAGTGGGTATTCTATCGGTGGGACGTCAACTAATATATTTAACGACGCTTCAGGTCATGTTACGGGTTACCCACCAGTCAGAGCAATTATAGAAGATGAAACAGAAGATGATTCAAATCATACTGAAGAAGATGGCATGCAAATTGATAGCATGCATGTGGCAGCTGGAATCGATGATGACGCCCGTTGGATGGAGCAATTTAATGTTAACAATGATTATGTAGAAGCTGAAGATCCATTGCCCAACGAGTTTCATAATGAGGATTGGATAAATACTTCTCAAGCTGGATTTGTTGATGTTGGTCCAAATTTACAACGATCTGAGGACTTCACTTTTAAAAAAGGGGATCTATTCGAGAGCAATGAGGCACTGATCTTTGTAATCCGAGAATGGTCCATCAAGAATCGGGTCAAATTCAAGCCGGTAAAAACTAATGCAACATGTAATCCGAGAATGGTCCATCAAGAATCGGGTCAAATTCAAGCCGGTAAAAACTAATGCAACAAACTATAATGTGAAATGCTTCTTTTAACAAGAAGATTGAAGTAGAGAACGCAAATGAGCAAGATGAGAGAAATAAATAATGTCCTTGGTTGCTAAATGCCGCCGTGAGAAAATCATCAAATGGGCAATTTGTAATATCTAGATATTGCGGACTTCATACATGTTGCCACCCGTCGGTGGATGTTGATGATTATTTTGTATCTTCTTCTTATATATGTAAGCTAATTATGTCTGAAGTTAGAGCTGAACTTGATCTGAATGCAGGTCGGATATTTTAGAGGGTATATGACATGCGGGTGATTAAGATATCTAAATATAAGACATATGATGCAAGGAGGAAAGCGTTGTCTAAATTTTTTGGAGATTGGAAAAAATCATATGAATTACTTCCACAGTATCTTGAAGCTATCAAGCGAAATAATCCGGGTACTGAATACGAAATATTATTCGAAGAGATTGCACCGGGTGTGGAGAGGTTCACTTGAGTGTTTTGGGCATTTGGTCATGCTATTAAGGGCTTTACTTTTTGTCGTCTGCTATTGAGCATTGATGGTACACATTTATATAGAAATTACAAAGGCGTGCTTCTTGTAGCGACCGGTGTAGATGCAAACGGCGGGTTACTTACTCTAGCATTTTCAATCGTGGAGGTGGAGGATACGTCTAGTTGAAAGTGGTTTTTTTAACTTATATACAAGTGGATTCCAAGTGTCCGTGCGCCAAGAATAATTACTTTTATCTCGGATAGGATGAACTTATATACAAGTGGATTCCAAGTGTCCGTGCGCCAAGAATAATTACTTTTATCTCGGATAGGATGAAATGAATTATAAGGGCGTTACATGAGGGTTTATAGGATGAAATGAATTATAAGGGCGTTACATGAGGGTTTTAGTGCACCACATCACCATCGATATTGTTTCAGGCATATAAGGGATAATTTCAAGAAAAAACACGGTGAGATTAATTTGCAAAATCTTTTGTGGCAAGCCGGGTGTGCAAACGACACATTAGTGTATGAACATTGTAGGGAGAAAATCAAGTCTTTGTCATTAGATGCACATAATTAGATTGAAAATAACTTGAAGCCTCAATTCGAGCATCGGTGGGCATTATGTAAGGATGAGGGTGTGCGGTTTTGCATGATAACGACTAACTACTCCGAGAGCTTTAATGATGTTCTTAAAGGAGCACGAGCTATGTCAATACAATCTTTGGTTACGAGAACGTTCTATAGACTAAACACATACTTCAACAAAAAGGCGTGGTGATGGCATAGACTGGACAACACGTTACACACCAAAAAATAAGAGTATTTTGCATAGAAGAATTGAGGCAGCAAGATCATGTCAAATTATTGTATTCAACGACAATGAATGGCAAGTACAAGATTGTGATGATATCTACACCGTTAAACTATTTGATGTTGATTGCACTTGCACATGTAACATACCACAACTCCAAAAAAATACCATGTGCACATGTGCTTGCGGCTTCTTCCAATCAGCCGGGAGGTGCTAGAATTCCCTATAATCGGTATTGCTCGCCTTAGTATTCAACAGCTCACTATCAAAAGACATATAGTGAGAGTTTTTATCCACCTGATGATAGTAGGTATTGGCCTGAATATAATGGACCACGTATAATTCTACCTCAGTACCGGAGATAAGCAGGTCGACCACGATCTGTGCGAATTAGGGGAACCATGGATCAAGGGCGAGAAGGAGTTGTCAAGCATAAAAAATATAGTCTTTGCAAACAACCGGGGCATACTCGACCTTGTTGTCCATCTAGACACAATAGATAGCAACTAATTGGTAATTTATATACTTTTTTATTTTTATATACTTTAATAAATAAACTTAATTACTATTTGATTAATTATTGACATGTGTATAATTGTATGTGCAGGTTTGTACACCATGGATCCTGGGCCGGTTAGTGATGAGGTCTTATATGACCAGGCTCAGCATCGTTCACATATTATATCCTGTACAGAGGTAATTCAGTTACTTTATAATTGCAATATTTGCATTTACATAATATTGCATTCTTATACTATCATTTACTGTACAGAGAGGAGGGAGTATCATTATGGTTGATCATAGCCTCAGCCATAGCCGTTGGTCATTAGAGGATGAGCGTATCATATCAACTATAGGACGGGCCGACTTCTTGACTTGTTCAAAGCTTCGTTGGATAAAGCTCGATTGGCCCCTACTCACCGCGTTGATGAATAGATGGAGACCTGAGACCAATACTTTCCACTTCTGAATGGACGAGGCTACCATTACTCTACAAGATGTATCTGTGATACTCGGTCTCCGTATAGATGGTCCGTGCATTTCCGGCACTGATAGTGATGTATGGCCGACAAGATGTGAGCAGTTGTTAGGTGTAGCTCCAGAGTCAATACCTCGAGGAAATATTAAATTGAAGTGGTTGAGAGAGACCTTCTCAGTATCGTTGCCTGTTGATGCCTCACAAATATTGGTTGACCAACATGCACGTGCATACATTATACACATAATTGGTACTATATTATTTCCAGATTCAAGTAAAGATAAAGTACATGCAAGGTATGTGTTTTTATAATATGAATATGCATTTCATTGAATTAGCTTATTTTAATAAATTGGAATATTATGAATATGCTAGGTGGTTACCACTCCTCGAGGACTTGGACACATGTGGTACAAAATCATGGGGTAGTGCCGTTTTGGCGTACTTATATAGAGAGATATTAAAAGTGGCACTTATGCAAAACCGTGAGCTTAAAGGGTGTCTAAGCTTATTACAAGTATGGGCATCAAGCTGGTTGATCGTGCATCAAGCTTTTATACACAGATGGAATGATAGACATTTTTGTATTGTCAACCAAATTGAACCAACTCCTCGGGAATCAGATTACTAGACTTGGTATTGGGGGATAACCCGAAGATTGGTACTTTATTCGACCACAATACCGGTTGAGTCACAAAGAGGATATGTGCCCCGGGGTATAGATGAGAGAGAATTAGTAAGTATTTTCATATTTTGATTTAAGTCCATTTTTATTGGTATTGCCCAATATTGCTAATATGTGTTGAAAAATGGGTAGGTATCAGCAATAGATGAAGTTCAAACTCTTGCAAATCGTGGCTTGGAATTGGCTCGAGCAGGTACAATAGAATTAAATCTCAAATTTACATTCTTTAATATCAAATTTTGTTTTTAAACTATCTATCGTAGGTAGAAATCCCGAAGCACATGAACATGTATCAATATATCAGGCTATAATGCAGAGGCTTCACCAAGCCTTACACCAAACTCACGAAGATCGTCATGATGGATGGGAGGTAACGCCATTCGTATACACACGACAACAGCGACAAAGTTGAGGACGACGTAGAAATGACGATGAAGCTGGACCTTCCTAATGTGTTGACGATGGAACTGGACCGTCACAACCACAAACGCAACCAGATCACGAACTCGTTGCAGGGCGGTATGGAGGACGACGAAGACAAAGGAGGAGGAGGAGAGTTCTTGGATGTATGTAAACTACATGTTATATACATTACAAAACTATTTAGGGATGTGACATGTTTTTGGATTTGTAGTCGATACTATGGTGTGATTTGTTGGATTTCTAAGTGGGTTTGTGGTGTTATTATGTTTGTTAGACCCTAGAGGGGGGGTGATTAGGGTTTTATGCTAATCTAATCCGATTAAATACCAATTAAAATTAATTAATAAGTTATCCTAGCAAGTATGAAATACAACAATGTATATGAGCTAGGATAAGTAATATGAACAACAAAGAGATATATCCTATATGATGAATATGTATATATGCAAGGATATATAAACAACACAAGGGTAAAATAAACAATCTACACAAGTGATAGGGTAATATGATGAGCAATACACAAAGGCGATATAAGATATGAAAACAAGAATAAGAACGCCAATGCAATCACAAACACACGATATAATCAAGGAGTTCGGACCTTCCGTCCTACGTCTCCGCTCCCCACTCCCGGGGAGAATTCCACTATCACAACCGGGTTTTCAACGTTCACCCGAACAACGTTTACACCTCATAGTATCGGTTTTCAACGCTCACCGATCAACATCACTCCTTACAATCGGTTTTCTAGTTCACCGAAAACTTTCACACCACACTCGGTTTCTAGCTCACCGAAAACCTAACAATCTCACAATGTAACAAATATAAATTGTATCTCTCACCACCCAACTATACTATGTATGAAAGATACAATAAGCTCAAAGTGGGTGTGTGTAACAATGAGTGAAATCAAAATCAAACTAAACTCAAATATAAAATCTAGCTTAAGAACAATGATAATCAAACAAGTATGTAAATGTAAAGCTAGAGTTGAGTTTAGGAAAACTTCTCTAGATCAGGATGGAGAGATGGAGAAATGAGCCCAAAACAAAAAGATAATCTCCTCCACTTGTGAAAACCAAAACAGATTAAACCAAACCCTTAAACAAGCTTAAACTCTTTTTAAAAACCCTTGTTTAAAAACTTCTTAGCTTAGTTGAAAACTGAGATCAAGGAGAGTATTTATATCCTCCAAAACCTCAGCTGAAAATCCCAAGTCAAAAGACAAAAACAGCCCCAGCAACGATAATAAAACTAGCCGTTGGAAGCTGAAAAAGACACTGTCGGTCGATCGGAAATTTCATCGGTCGACCGATGGAGCTCTCGTCGGTCGACCGGAAAATTCATCGGCCGATCGGAAAATTTCATCGGTCAACCGGACCGGTCGACCGACAGACTTTCTGTCGCCCAGTGAACACGAGAGCTCAGGTTCGGTCGACTAGTTCGGTCGACCGAAAACTGACATACTCAAAAACCTGATTTTAAAAGTGAATTTTTAACTTTTGGAAAATTGTTAAAAATAACAAATGAAGTCCAAAAATTATGAAACTTTGGGAAAAGTATATAAACATGTAAGTGAACATGTTACAAAAATAATTTTCCAAATTGCATTTCCCATTTGTGAAAAATCATCATTTTGCAAAATAGTTCAAAACACGAAAATGTAAACATGTGAAATTTGATATTTTGGCTAAACCATGTTTTGAAACTTTGCACAATGAGTATATAGACTTAATAAAATATGTATATGATTATTGTTAAGTCCAAAAAACAATGAATACCATATTTTCACAAAATTACATATTCTATGCAATATATACAAAACACTAAATATGATTTACCCAAGCTTGATTGGTCTTCAATATGCTTGACTTGGTAATCTTTGCGGATGAAGCTTGAACTTGATCTTTAACTTGAATTGTATGTTGCTTCAACCCGACATTCCGCCAACCTCCATTTGATATGATCATTGAAGCTCTATTCCATCCATCCTCCAACTATGTTGTTTGTCTACAAAACATAGGAATGCACAAACACTAGACAAACAACATTAGTAATAAATTGTTTGTTAAACATCATCAAAACAAGAAGGCCAACAATGTTGGATTTGTTAGTGGGAGTTTGTGCTTGTTTTCGTCGAAAATTGTTTAAAAAGATCGGTCTTTTTATAAGACTTTACACAATGAAAATAAAAGATACAATTCTCTTGAAAATAAACGCAAGATCCGTTTATCGTCTCCTGCTTGCGTGAGTATCTTCGCCTGTGCCGGGGTTTATCCGTGGACCACCTTTGATCAGATCTGTTTGTTAAAAATTCGGCAAAGCTCCTACCTCACCAAGGAGGTATTTGCTTAAAGCGTTAAAATCAACCAAGCGAAATTAGTAACTTTTCTCGAGATTAAGACCAAGCCTAATCTCGAGGAACGGACGGGAACGGGCTTCAGATCCTTCGAATTGCTCCTTTTTTATGTCGGGATTCATCGGGATCTCGCTAGCCCTTGCTAAAATTCGTGCTCCATTGCTCTCCAACTCGTCAACACCTCCTTGTCTTGATAATTAATCCGCCCGCTAAAACGAGCCCCTAAGCCTGTATTTATAGACTTCGGTTGGGGGGTTTTCGGATAAGAATGGATAATTCCTCCTTATCTTCAGTTAATAACTGATTAACTACATTTGGGGATAATATCAGATCAGTTGGGATGCTCAGGAACCAACAAATCCTGAGAAAAATCGTTAAAAACCGAACAGGAGCTAAAACAGCGTAGGGGGGCGTGAATAGGCGAAATCCGATCCGCGTGGGCGCGCGTCGGACTGAACTGACCCGCGCGAGTGCGGGTCGGATTCGTCCGACCCGCGCGGGTGCGGGTAGTTTTGCCCTTTCGCTGATTTTTGTGTTTTTCGACTTTTTCGATTTTCCGAGACTTGTAGTTTCTCCCGTTTCGCGTATTTGGCTGACTTGTTGACTTGCACTCTTCGTTACGGGACTGACCGTCGAACGCGCGTTGGTTGACATGTGCGTGTTGGTTGACGTGTGCGTGTTGATTGATGCACGCGTGTTGACCGACACGCATGAACTGATTGACGTGCACGTGTTGACCGACGCACGCGAATTGATTGACGCACGCGTGTTGACCGACGCGAACGAATTGATTGACTCGCGCGTGTTGACCGACGCGCACGAGCTGATTGACGAGCGTGCGGTGACCGACGCGCACGAACTAATTGACGAGCGTGCGGTGACCGACGTGCACGAACTGATTGACGAGCACGCGGTGATCGACGTGCACGAACTGATTGACGCACACGTGTTGACTGACACACACGAACTGATTAACGTGCGCGAGCTAACTGTTGAGCACGCAGGCCACTCGGTTCGCCGTTTTGCTTCATGTGCTTGTCGGCGTCAGATGATCCTCTTTGACTTGGATAATCATCTTCGATTTGGATAATGGCGTTCATCGCCTTCTCTTCTCGAGCTGTGTACGGACACCTATAGGTATTTTTATACGCCTACAGATACCCCCTCCAAAGTATTTCAGACTCATTCTTTTATAGAGGAGTCTGGAATGCTTTGGATAAGATAGGCCATCTCCTCAATTTCGTAGAGGGACCTGTGAACTGCTTCAATTCTTGACTTCTTCAGCCTTCAGTCTATTCAGTATTTTGTCGAATAGACAAAGTTCTTCTGGTGCTGCGTTTATCGCCTGACCATTGTCGAAATCTTGAATTGAAGTTGATGTGTAAGTTTCTAAACTTAGCTCGTGTTATTAAGTTGACTTTGAACTGATCATCTTTGTCAGAAATTCATATCTGAATCTGATTAAACTCCTTGAAATCATCATTTGCCTTATTTTGGCGAGATTGCTGATACGTTGACTGGCATCGATCTTTACTATAACGCGTTGACCGGTGTTAACACAGTTTATACTCGTACGTTGGCTGGAGTCTACACAGTTTAAGCTCTTAAGGAATTGGAGCGTGACGGTCCCAAATTCTGGGCTGTAGGACCAACTATTAAAGTTGTTTCGTCTGCAGATATGGATCTTATTCCAAAGTCATTGGATGCTCAAGTCACGAGACCAACTAATGAAGTTGATGCGTCAATGTCCCGTATTTATAGAATTTTTGGCAAATTCTTAGCCATCAACGGGTTTGATTAGCCTTTACCGACTACCGTTTGAGTCGGGCTAGCATGCAGATTGTTTAAATCTGTTCTACACATAACGTTGTGCTAAAAGAGTTAACTCTTTTAGTGCTACGATATTGAATACGTAGACTTCGTCTTTCTCATGTGAAAAGACTAAATAGCGACGTGTATCAGACGTAGACTCAGGATTTTTAGCAAATCCTCAGTCTTCAACGGATTTGACATGCCTTTACCGATTACCGTTTGAATCGAGCTTGCATGCGGATTGTTTAAGTCCGTTCCGCATGTGACATTGTGCTAAAAGAGTTAACTCTCTTAGTGCTACGATATTAAATACATAAACTTCGTCTTTCTTACGAGAATAGACTACCCGACAACACGTGTTAGGCATTGACTTATCCCTGCTCAGGATTCGGGATAAAATTCTCTAGACTGGATTCTGGTGTATTTTTTAATTGGTGAAAGACTAAACCGGCAACGCGTGTTAGGCGCTGACTTATCCTTACTTAGGATTCGGGATAAAATTCCCCATGCGTGTAAGGCACGGATTATGGTGTTATTAATAACAACCTGTCATAATGTCGAATATGTGGGTTTTTGTTCCTTTTACGGTTAAAAACCAACCGGCAACGCGTGTTAGGCATTGACTTATCCCTACTCAGGATTCGGGATAAAATTCCTCGTGCGTGTGAAGTACGGATTTTGGTGTTATGAATAACAACCTGCCATAATGTTGAATATGTGGGCTTTTATTCTTTTTTTTACGGTTAAGAACTAACCAGCA